GGTATATATAAATGATTACAGTTAATTAACCGACTTCTTCAAAAAAAAGTCTTTAAAATATGTTTGTCGGAAAAGCTTAATTATATGGAGATGCAACGTACGTAGCATCAAAGTATCAGCTCTAAAGTGATGTTTTCATTCAGTTAATGCATGGGAAATCATCATAAGCATCATACGTTAATAGATAAATGAATAAATAAATTGAATGCGTGCATGCATGTTACCGATATCAATAGTTCTGTGTAGTTTTACTTCATAACATTGATTCAGACCTAATAACTCAAAATCAATGAAGAAACATTTTTCTAGGCAAGAAAACACACATATATGAATGCGTAATTATATTCAAGTTGGAATGAAATGGCTGCGTCACTTCCCATGGATATTTATCCTCTTTATAATTTGTATGCGCTTGCTTACTTTTTGTGTCTCCAGTGATTTCAATTTTTTATTGTAATTTTACTTAACGACACTTAATTTTAAGGTCAAATTTAAATTGATATATATTATTCTGATTACATCTTTGTTATTGCACATGTATTACACATATTAATATTATTTCATTTAATTATACTACTACCTCCTATTCTTAATATAAGAATTTATTTGGCATTTATTTTGGTCATAAAGTATAAGATCTCAATCTACTTTTTCTCTCACATTCATCTTTTTTTGAAAAATAATCTTTGTAATAATAATAGTTCTAACTAATATATTTGATTAGCAAAGATATTTTAGAAAAGATAATACCTATTTATTACAAATAACTAACTTCACTAATTTTTTTAATTTATTAAAATTAGTTAACCAGTTCTTATATTAAAGACTAGAAGTAGCATTTTATAGTAGTATATTTTAATATTACCAAAGTCGTGCAAGGGAGGGAGTGGCACCTAATTGATAACATATGAAGGGGGCAGTGAATGGGATGCATCATGTATGGGGGTAGAGGAAGAGAGAGGAGGGAGGGGGACCAGCCAGAGTTGGGCCACCGGCCGATCGCCATCAAGCGGCCACCGTGGAGTAATGGCACCACAGGTTACCCTTACCCTCCGCATGCCCTCTCTTCTCTTTTATTTAAAGCCACTGTGCCGTCGTCCCCCAGACCACCTTCTCTATCCTCATTATGAAATAAAAATTAATTAATATATATTTTTGTTAAAATTATTTGATTTTGTCCTCAACTCAACGAACATTCTGGGATTCCATCCCTCCCAGCTTCATTTGCCCACACGTTGGGAAAGGTAATTTTTGATTTAATTAGCCAGAGCGATAGTCTTTTTATTTCTCCAATTGCAATCACTTCGTATTACTATTAATTTCAAACAAGTTATGCTAACTGTTATGTTTGCTTCTTGACAAAGTTAACCTCTGCGGTCAAAGGTTCTCTCGTGAAAAACATATGATCTCTGCAAGTGAGATTATGTACTAATCAATTATTACAAGGCTTTTATATACGCATAACCAATGTTTTTAGACTTTCAAAACAAACATAGGTGGGTGATAACTCAATTGAAAACTTTGTTTCTTGAGAACTACTCTAATCCAACTATAGTGATGGAATTGGAGATCGAGATCGTTTGTCTCGTACCACAAATGTTGTAATTAATAGGTTGCTCATCCTTTAATTTGCATTTATGTTTACCAAACGCATGTCGCCGAATAATCGAAAAGACATATTTCAGCTCGATGCCTACTTGGTTTTAAGATAGAATAATAATAATCATATAATTCCATACAACATTATTAGAACCAATGTCATCACGGCCCGTCAGTTCCATAGTCATCTATTTCTACTTTCATCTCATGTTCAGATCAAATGTTCCAATCGTGTCTGTTTCTGACCAAACATTTATCAACAAACACACGTGTGTAAACATCACATACTACTTCCATCTCTTGAATTTGGTTTAAATGATATAATTTGGTGGATTAATTTTTGTTATAAAGTATTACGTACCCTAGGAGCTAAGGGAATTTTAGAGAAGTTCACTGGCATATTATACATATATTTTTTCATGGCCGAATACTAATTTAAAGATAAAAATGTGTTTTAAGCTGATTAATTTAAGATTACATCCGAGCTATCAACAATAATATTACTCATCGAAAGAAGGGCTCAAAGGTCTTGAATCCCAGGCACATGGAAGAAGCAGAATCTCAAACTGGCCTGAGTACTCTGGTTTACGGGGTTAAGTAGCCAATCTACATTAATTTATATTTCCTGAAACGTTAATTTAATCAGGAGAGAATAAGGATCTGAGATTTGAACAAGGAAAGAACCAAAAGACGACGAGCATAGGGAACCGCATGTGACTTGTGGAGGTGAGTATTCCAAAGCAAAGCTGAGAAACAGCCAAACAAGGGAAGGTACTTTTGGTTGGAATATCCAAATTCCAAACCCTAAATCTCAGCACATTGAATCGAATTCCACCTGTGAGTTAAAATTTTCATCAGTTTGACAAATGCCCTTTTCTCAGAATGTTCTATACAGCCCGTGAACTCACCTCATTCAGACTCATTTTTCATTCTAAATATAAAACTCTTATACAAATGTATATAATTAAAGGTCTTATATTTATGACCGGAGGAGTATATATATATTGGTCTGTTCAACTTTTGATGATAATCGGCTTTTCTGTGCAGTTACCCTTGTTTGGAGGCAGAGAATCTCATAACTTTGGTCAGTAAATATATATTTTTATATGTCGTTGCTGTGAAACGTGTGGCACCATCATTTGTAATTCAAGAGAAGTGTGGATTAAGGGAAGTAAAAGTGTGGGATAATAATCATATATATATATATATATATATAGTTGCATTGCTTGAGCTAGATGCAGCTTTCACAATTTGTCACTGTTTTGTTCTTCACAAATTAACAAAATTTCTATATCACTTTCACTTCACCGAAGACCAAAAAAAGGGGAAAAAAAAAAACCTCATGACGCTAAGCCATGACAAGCTAAGTAACCACATTCACCAACCTCATGGACCAAATTAAAAAAGAAAAGAAACCCAATTCACCAACTTCTTTTTGTTTTCTTCTTTTTCAAAATTGTTAATCTTAAAATTTAGTTGGTAGGCTCCTGTCAAGCATCAAAAGAATATATATATATATATATATATATATTAATTGTAAAATAACTAATAGGGCGTAAACATTATAATTTAAATGTCTCTTTTGATTATATTGTACTTGAATGACAGGTCTATTAAAAAACAACATTGGCCGTCTTATCCTTGTCATAATCCAAACGAAGTTGTTAACAACACCACACATTTTTTCTACAATTTCCATTTAAAAAAAGGAGAAAAAAGTTAGTACTATTGAGTCATGTCGGCAAATAAAATATGCTTGTGCGATGAAAAGAAAAGAAATAAAAAAAGAAAGACATTGAGATTTGATTTTTCATTCTTATTTAAAAACTAAAAAATATAAAGAAATATCAATATAGAAAATCAACATCATCAAAAGAATTGTGTAAAAGAAAAATGTATAGGAAGACTCATGGTTTACAGATCATAGTAGGCATCAGAGAATTCTTCTTGAATTTATATACAAATATATGGGCCAACTCTAGCTAATTGAAAATTGTTTATTATCATCCTCAAAATTTGATGGATAATTGTTTTAAATCCCCTCCCTCTCCATTACATCTAGCCAAACATACTTTAGGTGATAAAGTTAAATATTTCTTTGCTAAAAATATTTGGTGACCCCAAAAAAAGATTATGTCCTATCCAGGATGAATAAATGTTTCATTCCTTCACTTTCTCTAAACAAGGTCTTAAAACAAAAAAAAGAAAAGCAAATGGCAAAATAATAACAATGATTACTCAATCTCCCGAAAGTACCGTATTCAAAATGAATTCCATTGAGTATAAGATGCTTCATTAAAGCTAATTTTATTCCTTGAGGGGTCGATTCAACCAATCAATGATCATAAAAAATCAATATTCAATCCACATATAGTAATTGGGAACGATAGTTGCAAAAATGAGTCCTTTTCGTTTGAATTTTAACTAAGGAAAGAGATAATGTCCATGGCGGAACAAAGAAGCAATTATACATATTGGCGCCATTCTGAAATCCAGAACATTATATTCAAAAGCATGATAATGGCTTTTTTACTGCCCCAACAATCATCATAAAAGATACTTCTAAACCCAACAATATTAGATTATATATATTTCATTTGGTGTCACTGCTTAACAATGTTCTGTATTTAATTAATGACGATACGCATATTATCAAAAATTCATTGAAAAACTTCAACTTGGAGTGCAGGAAATATACTGTTAAACTTTTAATCAGTCTTTGCACAAAATTAGGACCTCATCACAATAGGGGTGAGTTATTACTTTATTATGCTCTGCTTTTGACAAAACTGAAAACCTATAAATTAATTGAGAGAAAAAAATGGCAGTCAAAGTACTTGGTAGGAGGCTGGTCATATTCTAGAATAAGGGAGGACAACAGAATTTAGAGTTTGTTTTTTTAAAAAAAAAGAGCAACGAGGAGACGGGAAAAAAATGAAACTCATGTTCATTTGTATTTATTATGTCTCTTCTTTCCTAAAAAAATATTATGTCTCTTCTTTCGCCTCAAAAATATTTCACAAATTTTATATTTTAAAAGATACAAATATTGATGGAGAAAATGAGAAAGGTGTCTACTAGTTTGTTGTACTTATTTAATATATATTTTAATTTTAAAAGTATTGTTTTTCAAATGAGATCAATAAAAAATTTGAAGGGGGAAGTATGATGATTGGCGATGATCTTTTTGGTGGGAAACCAGGTTTTTTCACTGTGAAAGCAGAGATGGGGTCGTGTTTGTGTTACGTGAGAGATAACACATTAACACGTACTCTTATTATTCGCAAACATCAACATGTCGCCAACTGACTCCAATCTAATACACTCACTCTCATGTCTCTACTCTCTTTCTCTCTCTTTCTTTGTCTATTGTCTTCTTCTTTCTTCTTCTTTTCGTTCTCTCTCGTGTCACGAGACCCCCTTCCTCCACTGACCTGGCTTTCTCCTTTTCCTTTTCTTAATTTATACAAAAAGCAATATATAATTGCATCAATCACTCCTTCTTCTTCTGTCCTGCCAGCGCAAGACTATCCAAGTATCTTTCATCCTCCTCCTCTTCTTCCTCCCCCAATTTTCCCTCTCTCTGTTTTTTTCTTCTGCTTTGCTTGACCAAACCCATCTCACATTATTCGTATTCCCTCTTAAATTAACCATCTTTTCCCTCTAATTGTAATATTCCGCCACTACTCTCTCTCTCTCTCTCTCTCCCCCCTCTGTAGTTCTGAATCAGATCCTTTTTTAACCCCAACCAATTATTGCTTGCTGGTTAGTTGAACCAAATGACTCGGCTTTTTCGATCCAAATCTTGCGGAGTCGAGGGTCGTACTCAGTTCAACCCGCCTACACCGAGTCCAGTTTTTCAGGATGTGAAAAAGGAAGACAACGAGGAGATGGAAGAAGAAGAGGAGGAAGACGAGGACGAGGAGGAATTAGAGAGTGAAGATGATGAATCAAGGTACCCCGTCTCGACGCCGTTCATAAACCCTGCCTCGAAATCCGGCGGAGCGGAAATTCGAGCTCGGCAAAATCAGAATCAATTTGCGATATTGGATTTGCTGACGGCGGCGCTGAGGAAATCGCTGGTCACCTGTAGTGTTGAGAGAGAGGACGTTTCTTCCTTGGACATAAGCTGGCCAACGGAGGTTCGCCATGTATCTCACGTTACCTTTGATAGGTTTAATGGGTTTCTGGGTTTGCCAACGGAGCTCGAGCCAGAGGTTCCCATGAGGGTGCCTAGTGCCAGGTAAGCCATTGTAGCTTTATTTTTCTTCTTCTTCTTCTTCTTTATTTCTTCTTTCACGCTAAAATATGACGAATGTGTTCAATTTTGCTTCGGCTTTCTCCAGAAATCAATGAGCCTAGTATTTTGAAATTTCTGCAGAATTAGATTACATGCAATTTTATGTTTTAGATATGCGCCGAGGAATGTTAACTTGACAATTTAGCTCATTGCTTAATGCATTTAAATTCTTTGCGTGTGTCAGAGTGTCCTGAAAGATGAAGCTGGGCTCTTTTTGCGGTGCCTCAGTTTAGGGAATCTTCTATGTCACCTTTTCTGTGTTCGTTGCAAGTTTCAATACAGATCTTTTACTTTCGTTTTTTTAATTAAAAAATATTCTGAAAGTTGTACGAGCCTTCAGTGGGTTTTTCGACCAAGAAACGGAAATGAGATCTTCACTAGTACGTTAAATGAGGCTTCAGTGGATTGGTTGGAGTGGAAGTTTATATCGATTCAATACTGGTTTTGTTCATGTTAATTGATGTAGTTTTGGTTTGTTGACTGGGGAGGAATATGGTCAACATTAGAATCTTCCTTTCCTTTGCATACCAAGCTTGCCAGTAGAAGATATTCAGATGTCTGTTTGAACTTGCACTGCATATTTGATGCATATAAAAATGATTGCTATATAATCTTGTGATGTTTGTCATGAATCCCTTGTTTCTCCCTCTATATGTCTTTCTGATTCCAGCTAACAATTTTTCCTCCATTGCATTCTCATATCACCTCCGGATCATTCAGTGTGAGGGTTTTTGGTGTTTCTGCAAAGTCGATGCAGTGCTCTTATGATTACAGGGGAAACAGCGTCCCCACAATTCTGCTGATGATGCAAAAGCGACTGTACTCAGAGGGAGGCCTTAAAGTATGTTTTGTATCTACGCAAATTGTTGGTTAAAGAATATTTAATCGCTTTTTCTGCATAATAAATAATACTAAGCTTTAATTTGATGCCTGCAATTCTTAAAGGCAGAAGGAATATTCCGAATCAATCCAGATAACAGCCAAGAGGAGTTTGTTCGTGATCAGCTAAACAGAGGTGTAGTGCCTCATGGAATTGATGTTCACTGTTTATCTGGTTTGATAAAGGTAAGATATAGGTCCGTTGAACTGCTCAACTGTATTAAACATCGTCTTTGAGAACTCTACAGATTCTCTCACTCGTGTATGATTTGTATGTGATCTGCAAAATGAAAGTGAGCAGACAAAATACATTTTGGTTTCCTTCTGAAGCAGAGTTTAGTATCACAGTTAGTTTGACAATTCAGATATCTACAAGTCTTCTTGAGATTGTTCTGTTGCTCAATACCACTGCATTAACTACTGCTCATGTCTTGTTCCTTTTATGTCTTCCAGGCATGGTTTAGAGAACTTCCAAGTGGGGTGCTTGATTCTCTTACCCCAGAACAGGTGATGCGCTGCAACACAGAAGATGGCTGTACTAAACTAGAGGAGTTGCTTCCTCCAACAGAAGCCGCACTGCTTGACTGGGCCATCAATCTGATGGCAGATGTTGTGGAGCATGAGCGGTACAACAAGATGAATGCCCGCAATATTGCTATGGTTTTCGCACCCAACATGACTCAGGTTTGTTGCCTATATGAAGCAGAAATGCTTATTCGTGCAGAATTCAAGTTTCTGGCACTCACTACCAGAAATGCTTATTCATTTATTCAACAAACAGTACAATCCGCTGCCTCTCTTATTACTTGTCTAGAGAGACAGTTAGTTAATTGGGCGGGTATCTCATCTCCAGACAGCTCATAACAGATTTAACCACTCATAAATAAAAATGCACTTGTTCAATATTCATAACAGAGATTACTGCTAAACCACTTCTACATCACTTATGTACTAATCGGAGGTGAACAACTGGATTTCTGATGATTTTGCTGTTTGGTACAACTTGCTTAAGTTTCATTTCTAATATGAAATGGAGAAATTGTTTTTCTTAGAGACTTGATTTGTTAAAATTTTTAATTAGATATTTAAAGTATCTTTTTTCAACCAATTTATTTGACATATTGCATTAGTTAACAATATTACAATAACCAAAAATTACTGAATCCCGGATGTAATGATCAGCATGTGCATCCTCTTTGTATATTAATATTTTCGCCTGAGTATAAATTTCCTTGGGTTATGCAGATGGCTGATCCTTTGACTGCACTAATTCATGCTGTGCAAGTAATGAACTTCCTTAGAACTCTGATTCTGAAGACCCTTCGAGAAAGAGAGGAATCATCTGCTAATGAGGGGATGGTTTATTCTCCGTCCTGCAAAGACGATCCTGTTCCTCTAGATTTTAACACCAAGGAATTGATCGAGCAAACTGAAGATGTTAATGCCAAGAAATCACCACCTAGAAGTGAGTTGTTGAGTGTTGAGGCGAAACTTAGGACCCCTGAGGAGAAGGGAAATAATGCAGAAGATGGGGAATTTGTATCTGTTTCAGGCGGCAGCACGCCTTGTAGATACGAGACTGGTGCTATAGAAAATAGATATAGAAGTAAATATGATAGTGAACACTGGCTAAGATTGAGAAAGGGCGTACGCAAGCTATGCAGGCACCCAGTATTTCAACTCACCAAGTTCAAGAAGTCTTCAACTGTTGGCATTGTAAATACTAGGGGAAGAGGTGGAGAGGCTTGGGCTTAGAACTATTTTCAATTGCCCCTTTTTTTTCCCCCTCCCTTTATGTGATTTGATATATACAGATCATTGTGTGAGATTGTGTTCTATAGTTTAACATAGCTTCAGCTGTAACTTCTGGTTTGGCTTTTCTAGTAAATGTATAATTTGCTGGGGATGTTGAGATGGTACTCTTGAAAGTTGTGTATCAAATGATTAGCTTAGAAAATGTTTTAGTTTCTGACACAATAAAATTAGAGCTTTACTTTAAGATCATGGAAGTGAACACTTACGATAGTGTTATAGAATTAAACATCTGAACTTCTGTGTCAGAAGTTTTGTTGCTCGGACTCCACCAGCATCGCATTATGATCTAATGAACACCCATTGAATTAGCCGAAGTACTCCAAGTTCGCAAGTTTACGATTTTACAATGATAAAAATGCCAACTGATGAGGAAGGATGCTGGTTGTGAACGGAGCAAAGGAATCTTTGAATCATCGCTTTCCAAGCTTTTTCTTTTGTAGTGGTTAGCGTTGCGGAAAAAAACTTAGATGCTATTCTTGATATGCTTTATGTGCTATTCTTGACATCCTTTATCTACTGTTTTTTCCATTACTAAATGATTCAAGCAACTTCTTTACAGCTCATGCTTGTTACTTTAACTTCGTTCAGGTATGATAAACCTAACAGCTGAAGCAAGAGTTATTTTTAAAAATTAGTAAATGGCAAAGAAGAATTTGGAAGCTAAACGGTAAACAGTGGGCATTCAAAGTCTTTGTTTAAAATGATGGTAAGATTTTTAAAAACAACTTTTCAATCGTAATTTTAAGTGTGACTATGATTGTTATGCTTTTTTGTGATTTGTTCAACGTGGCTTTATTCCCAAAATGGGCAGAGAATTAGTGTTGAAAGGCATTGATCGGGCAGGTGTTTTTGTTGGACGCCAAAATATCATATCAGAATTCAGATCCAGCAAAGTTGATGGTTACGGTCTCGTAGTTATCAGGACCATCTTACTGTTATATGTTGCAATCGTGGTTAGTGAGCCTCGGATTCACAAATCCTTTGAGCAGCACATTACGCATTCACATATTTATCTCTCATTCTTAGTATAAGAGTTAGTTTGACATTTAATTTAGTTTTAAATATAAGACCCCAATCCATCTTGTTTCTTATATTTATCTATTTTTTTAACCCATACTTTTTAATAGTTTCAAATGTTAAAGATTCTAACTAATACATATGATTTTAAGATTATTTTAAAAAACAACACATATTTATTATAAATAACTAATTTTTTAATTTACTCAAATTAATGAACTAGTTTTTATATGAATGACCAAAGATAGCACTAATTAATGAGGTCACATCATTTAAAAGGTGACCCAACCTTCATTAGCAACATGACCGAATCAATTAATTAATTATCATTTCAGATTTAATCTGTATAGTTTCTTGGAAATTGGGCTCTTGATGCATGAAAACAGGCCGTAATATGATGGCCTAATTTCTGTGTTCCAACATACGGGAAGCCCAGGAACAAGATTTTCCCTTTCAATCCGATATCCTGGGCCCCTTGTATCTGTACGGCCCATATATGTAAATCCCTCGTGAGATTATTGCATTTCACGTCTATTTTTGTAAAATGTATAGAAACTTAGCTTTAAATTAAATATGCATAAGCTTATTAAGATTAATGTCTTAAGAAATATTGAAATTATAAGAAAATGATTGCGTGTACTATTTTGATTAACGCCCCTCGCTGGTTTCAAATTAAAGCACCCGTCATTATCCAATCCACTTTTTAATTTTCGTTTGCTTCGCTCCCCCGGGGGGATAGTAGCGTGTTGAGCAAGTTGTCCTCCCTAACCCTAATTTTGTTATTTTTTGGGGCCTAACAAAACAGCAGGAAAAAAAAAAACACAGACGCACAATTTTGTCCTGGTTCAATTCGATTCACTCTAATTTCTTTATCCTTCTTAAATTGTATCGTGTATGTCTTGTAAAATCTAAGGAGTGAGGACAGAATGATCTGATAACCTAAATTTGGCTTACGCCCGACAACAGTATCCAGGGAGGAAAAGAAGGTACCTAAATATAAAATATCTATAGAATATCGAAGTAAAGACAAAAACACTTAAATTTGATCTGTCCATTACTACGAATCCAGCAAGAGATTTACATCATCCGGATAAAGAGATAAAAGGCAATGGAAATTTGCATGCAGGAAGTATACCCCATGAAAGGCACAGCATAACAAATGTATTAAATTACGTGGGGAAGGAAATTGGTGTTAATTAAATGAGATTAATAAAAGTAAATAAATAATGAGCCAATCATATAAGAGTTTGAGATCATTGGAGGTTTTGCCGCAATATGGGACCATTTTATTAAAAAAGTTTGTCTGCAAAATAAAGAGACACACACTGACACACATATGATAGGCAGAGAATAGACGAAAAAGGAAAGATAGGCTGCTGTAAGAATAAATGCTTTTAATGTTAGTGTCGTTATGTTAGGTGGGAAAGAGTTCCACATATGTCCCATGCAATATATTTCTGCCTTCAATCACTATAAGCTTATCATCAGCGTGTTACATTGTATTTTTGCTGCTACTTACTGATGCCTCTCTTCATCTTTCTCTAGATCTATGAAAGTACCATGTCAAATGTACCTCAATTTCATTTATGTATTACGATCATACAACTTTATCTGGAGTACTGTTGTTGTTGTGATCTTCAGATTTGATTACTATCTATTGCTTTTACTATAGGAATTAGTTTGGGAGTTAGACTCTGTCTTACATGTAAGATTTCAACTCCCTTTGTAGTTAAAATTGAACTACAAATTAGATTTTATATTAAAAATATGAGATAGTATTTTCTTTTCCAAATTATATATATTGACTGTGCATGTTAGAAGGATTCCTACCAAGGGTAATTTCAATATATATGACTAAAGAGAGTAGCTTCTAGAAGCCAACATATATTTGTTACAAATAACTAACTTAAATAATTTTTTAATACCCACAGATTAATTATCTAACCTTATGTTAATGATTAAGATAGCACAAACCTAATGTTAGCCATTTAAAGCTTTAATTAGTTGGGGTTAGTATGATATATATTGGTGCAAGCTCTTTTTTATTATATATATTGTCGGCTTTTCCTTTGCGAATACATAGAGCAATTTTTTTCTTGATTTTTTCCCATTTAAACAATAATTTTTGTTTTTAAAAGTACACACAATCCTTCTATATAGAACAAAAACAAAACCTATCTCACCCTCTAGTTTAATTTTAGGCCTTTTTTTTTTTTTCAATTTGAATGTCTTCTATATATCAAGTTAAACTCGTGTGTGTGTCTGTTTGTGTGCGTCTGTTTGAATTTTAAAAATTAATGAGTGACATTTTGATTAAAAAAATGTAATTTCGATTAAATTATTTAAGATAGTTTTTTTGTTTTATAAAATACGTACGTATATTTTAAAATTTAAAGCCATGGTTTGTACAGTTCTAATAAAGTTCTTCGGAAATCTATATAATTCATTGAGAACAAGAATTGTATATTAGAACACTAATGATGAGCAAGCATGCTATATATTTAGACGGATTTTTCTGTTTAATAACATTTAAAAAAATTAGAACTAAACGCAAGTGCTTATTAATTAGGATAACATTTTTCAATTAGAAATGTGTAAAAATAAGTTGTAGAATTTTTGTATATCAAGAATTAATGTTGGGAAGGATAGATGGCTAGACGATATATATATAAAATGATGTACAGCAGTTATGAACATTTAATATGAAAAGGAAACCTGAGGCGGCGTGAATTGTGAATTTGTGAATGGTTTGTCCAGATTGGTATCTGTCGCGCAGGGCCTTAATATATGCACGAAGGCGATTTCAATATATACATATAATGCATAAGGGCATCAATATTTATATATATATTTATGTATATTTATAATATTTGTCGTATTATATACATAACTCTTTATACTTGTCTCTGCCAAAAAGGAAATGCGTGAGAAATTAGGTTGTCGATCACTGTTGTCGATTCGATCCAGATCAGATCCTGTCACAAAAATGTTTTGGTTGAAAAGCTCGCTAAATGATTAAAAAAAGAAAAAAAATTTCCGATTGAATATTATTAACTTAGAATATCTATCAATGCCAGCAATTTTTTTATGAAGATTAACCTGTTTATATTCATGCATTCAAATCTCAAAAAGATCTACAAATACTTATCTAGTTCTACTTATAAGGCAAAGTAAAATTGTTTGTTATCCTATTTATAAGTTATATACATCATTAAATTTTTCATACAAATATATAAGTGCATCTTTTGTTTATTATTTATGGAAACAAGACATTAAAATATAATGTACTACATATTAAATAGTTGAAAAGTTATTAAATTTTTAAGACAGCATCGATGATATTTAAATTTTTTTTTCCTAATTTTGGTAAAACATGTTTGAAGTATCTTTTAATTAAGAGGAGAGGAATACACTAGAATACGAGAGATGCACACAAAGCACTATACACTTCTGTTATATTATATGTCTCAAATCTGAATGCACTTTAGCTTTTATGAATATAATGCGAGGAATATGGGATGGGTTTGTGTGGTAATATTGGTCAGCTCTGAAAATTGAATGGTGAGCGTAAAAGTCAAAAGCAAAGGTGTGGGCGTGTGAGTGTTAGAAAAGGAGGTAATATAAGGATCACGGAGGGTACAGTACGTGGCAGTAACAAGCCAATGATCGATGAAAAGGAAGATATTTGTGAGGATCCTCATGGAAATGAGGCAAATTAAACGACACACACACACACACACTAGTACGTATATAGCCCATAGAATTAATAGACGTCGTTATCTCAGTAACTTGGGAGTTTCAGTAGTTTGGCGCTTTTATGCCATAATTTGTCACCCAATGGCTTGATTTTGATATCTTCTCGCATGCTCGCTTTGTCCTATACTGTACTCCTCTCCCCCCAATTCAATGATGCCGTAATTAAGTAGCTTCCTTCACCAACACATCAATTCATCATCATTATATTTTTAACCTCCCCAGATTGGTACATCTTGTTCTTAGATCAGAGGAATTACAGCGTGTAATTAAATTGGCTCACTGCTAAATGAGAGATACATATGCGTGTGTATGAAAAAGGTGGACGGCGACGCGGAAGAAGCAAGTTATTGGAAATTAAATCAGTGTGTATGTGTGAGAGTGAGAGGCATGAGGTTATGTGTTGTGAATTTA